AGATGGCTTTTGACTTGTGAGGGCTCTGAGGAACCATGCTATAAATGCACAAGGGCAAAGTCCTCCTTAAGACTCTCTTCCACCAACCCTCCATCTTTGGTATCGCAGGCTTCCCCAATAAGCTGAAGCTTCAACTTGGCCATGATCAGTTTGGATTCTTGTAGGAATTCTGACTTGAGGTTTTCTTGGTCCAAGGTAGCAGTCAAATACTTGTGCAATTGGGTCAGCTGGGCCTCCGGGGGACTGGCTCCTTGCCACAGGGTCTTCTCCTTCAAGTGCCGCACCAGCTTCAACTCCCCAAGGAGTTCATTCATGTTGTCACTGGTGATGAGCCTGGTTGATAGATGCTTGAAGAGCTTGGGGTCCACTTCCACTGCACTAGGTGTGGTAGTGCTAGATCTCCATCTCAGGCACCAGCCAAGTGCGGCCTTCCTGGTTGCCATGGCGGCCTGGCAGGAAGTCTAACTGGGGAGGAGGCACAATCATGTTATTTTTTGAAAAGCAATGCTAATAAAAATATATTGTATATGTGCACGAACTTCTCAGAGTACATAAAAATAAAATTTTAAGAAGTTAAAACTAAAAAGAAAAAATCTGCATAGCAAAGGAAACCATCAACCATCAACAGAACTGAGATATAGAAAAAAAACTTTTAAATTTTATTTATTTATTTAAATTTTTATATGTATGAGTGTGTTGCCTGCATGAATTTAAGTTGCATACATACATGCAGTGCCTGGGAAGACCAGATGAGGGTGTCAAAGCCCCTGGAACTGGAGTTGTGGACAGTGAGCCACCTAGGGATGCTGGGACTGGACCCGATGTCTTCTGCAAGAGCAGCCAGTGCTCTTAACACTGAGCCATATCTCAGCCCCTATTTCTTAATATTTTATTTTTTTATTTTATGTGTATGAATGTATTGCCTGCATGTGTATAAGTGCACCTTTGTCATGCAATGCCCATAAAGGTCAGAGGAGGGCATTGACATAAGATCTCCTGGAACTGGAGTTATGGATGGTTCCGTGTGCGTACTAAACTGGGGTCCTCTGCAAGAGCAACCAGTGCTCTTAAATGATGAGCCATCTCTCCAGCCCTCCAGCCTCTATTTTTAAAATTGAATGCCAGTCATGGAAATGTGTATCTATAATCCATAATCCT